GGGCGTGCGTAAAGCGCTACTCCGCGGGGCCTCCAAGAGCTCACGCAAGTGGCGGTAGTTGCGCAGGTGGCAGCACCCCTAGGAACGCCGAGGTTTTAGTCTTGGTATGGTTAAGACGCCACCCCAGGAGCCCACGAAAACGGCCACAGTTTCGCAGGCGAGGCCTAGCCTGGGTGTGCGTAAAGAAACTACTGTGCTGGGCCTTCCAGGAGCTCACGAAAGTGGCGACAGTTGCGCAGGTGGCAGTACCCCGAGGGACGGCAAGGTTTTAGTCTTGGTGTGCGTAAAACGCCACTCCGCTGGGCCTCCTAGCAGCCGACGAAGGTGGCGACCTTTGCACAGGTGGAAGCACCTGCAGGGGCGCGCAAGATTTCGTCTGAATGTGCGTAGGACGCCACCCCGCTGAGCCGCCCAGGAACCCACGCACGTGGCGACAGTTGCACAGGTGGAAGCACCCCCATGGACGGCGAGGTCTGCCTGGATGTGCGTAAGACGCAATTCCGTTGAGCCTCCCAGAGGCACGCGAAAGTTGTGATAGTTGCACAGCTGGAAGCACCCTCAGTGGCTTGCGAGGTCTAGCCTCGGTGTGCGTAAGACGCCACTCCGCTGGCCTCCAAGGAGCCCGCGAATGTGGCGAAAGCATGCGTAATGAGGTAGGACAAGAGGAGGAGGAGGAGGAGGAGGAGGAGGAGGAGGAGGAGGAGGAGGAGGAGGAGGAGGAGGGATAGGCGGAGGAGGAGGAGGCGGAGGAGGAGGAGGACGAGGAGGAGAGGAGAGTTGAGGACGGGGACCACAGTGATTGTTCCAACACGAGAACCCACCACAGGGGGGTTTGAAGACAATTCGTCGCATGCGGTGGGCTGATTGCTCCCCGGAATAACCCTGCGACGTACCAACCCATGTGCGCTAAGTGACCAAGGCAGCTTACCCATATTTCTATGGATGACAGCAATACAGAAAGCGTCATTTGTTGTGAGGGATACGTGGGATGCTTGCGCGATGTACAGCTCACAGAAAAGCAACAGAAGGACGAGGAATGAGGCATCAGGCTCGAAGAGGAAGGGAGAGCGAACGAAGGGCAGGAGAATGACGGAAGAGCGGCCGAAAAGTCAGCGCGGCGCTCCGCTGGACCTTCCCCGAGGTCACGAGAGTGGCGGCAGTTTCGTTGTTGGCAGCCCCCAGGAGTGAGGCGTGGTCGTGGTACTTGTAGGTCGTCGCTCCGCTGGACCTCCCAGGCACACGCGGAAGCGTCGACGGTTTAGTTGTTGGCAGCACCCCCGGGAGTGCGGCCGATTTGCGATTCCTGTGAGATCGACGTCACCCCAACATACTTATACTATATGTGCGTCGCCCCTTCAGGGGCGACGCGGACACCGGGAAATCTTATAGCATGTGTGTCGTTGCGGGCGCTGTCTGGCCACAGCGCTCGCTATTGTTCGGGTCGGACGCACGTCTCCAAGGAGGACATACAGTGCGGGCGCGCATCAAGAAACCGTGTGCTTTTCGTCAGGGTATCCTGGGTTTCTTCGCTCCTCGCGCTGCGCGGTGACTCCCCGCAGCCGTTGAAGGAGCTGCTGCGTTCAGGGTGCTCCGGGTTTCCCCTCAGGTGCACCTCGCGCACGGGTTCTCAGGGTTGGGTTTCTTGCGAGGGTTTCTTGCGGCCGCGCCCGCGCTGGAAGGGGCGTTCCAAAAACGGCGCTGCCTTCGAGGATTGCATGAGTTGTCATCTCTTCCGCCGCGAAAAGGCGGCGGAAGGTCGGCGGAGAAGTAGAACGAGGCCGCCTCCGCCAGCGGAAGCAACCGGACGCTCGGCTTTCGAAATCCGCCATAAACAGTGGGGGCGCGTGCCAAAAAACCAATTGGATTTTGCCAGGGTGCCCTGGGTTTCTTGGACTTCGATGGATCCCCAATAAGATCTGGATGATTTTCGATCGACAATCTTGGACTTTCGTGGAACAGATTTCAGGGTTGGGTTTCTGGCGGAGGTTTCTTGTGGCCGAGCCCCCACTGTGGTTAGCCTTCGTCTGTCCCTGTGCGTCTCGTGGCGGCGCTCCGCCCGCTCCCAGCGAGCACGCGAGAACGGAAGGGGGGCCGTGTCGCCGCCTGGCAGTCCACGGCGAGGCGAGGCGCAGCCTCGTGGCCCCTTGGGAGGCGGCGCCCCGCGGGACCTCCCGGGGGGCAGTCGGAGGTGTCGGGCCGAAGGGAAAGGGGGGGGGGGGGGGAGATAGAGGGGAAGGGGGGGGGTGCGAGATCTGCTGCATGCAGCCGGTTTCGGCCCCGCCGCCGGGCCCCTTCTTCGATACATGGGCGCCTCCTGGCGCCGGGAGGCGCCGGGACAATCAGCTACGTGAGCTGATTCTCAACCCCCCCCCCCTTGCTCCCCCTGGTCGCCCGCCAACGCTGCCAAACCATTGAAGGAACAACCGCCCCAACACAAACTCCAAGCACTCGTCGTCAGGGCCCCCAACGCCCTCATCAAAACAGCCATTTCGCAACTTAGTCGGTGTGGGGGTCGTCGGCCTGGGAATCCAGATTTGAGCAGGCTGCGTTGCGAAGTGACTGTTTTATAGGTTTGGGAATCCTCGGCAGGATTCGTCAGGAACTTGCTTATGTTGTTTTTGATTGGTTTTCCAATTATGTTCAATTCCCAGGCCGACGACCCCCATCTCGGATCAAGTTATGAGATAATGGTTTCCGTATTTGGAGAATCCTCATACAAGTTTAGCTGTTTTGTTTGACTGTTGTTTGCGTTCTTGGAGTTTCTACACCCGGCTGTTCCGTCCTGTCGTCTTCCTCTTCCTCTTCCTCCTTCTTCCACCCTTCTCTTTCTTCAGCTTCCACCTCTCATAGCTCAGCTGACCAACAAGTTCCCACACGCATGGCAGCACAGGAGCACGACAAACAAGGACCGGACACCGTCAGACACACAGCAACGCAGAAGCAAGTCACACAACACGTAGAACAGGACAGCACAACGACACACACCCGCTACCAAACAACCGACCAGTTTGTATTAGATTTCTTAACATTATGTTACTACTACTACTTCTACTATTACTACTACTACTACTACTACTACTACGAATCGTAATCTGACTACTACTACGACATCTACTATAACTACTACGACCTGCTACTACTACTACTACTACTACGACTACTACTACTACGACTACTACCACTACTACTACTACTACTACTATTACTACTACTACTACTACTACTACTATTTCTACTACTACTACTACTACCACTACTACTACTACTACTACTACTACTACTACTACTACTACTACTACTACTACTACTCATTATTATTATTACTACTACTACGACTATTGCTACAATTATGACTACTACTAGCATCACTACTACTACTGCTGCTGCTGCTACTACTACTACTACCACTGCTACTACTACTACTACTACGACTACGACGACGACTACCACTACTACTACTACTACTACCACTACTACTACTACTACTACTACTATACTACTACTACTACTACTACTACTACTACTACTACTACTACTACTACTACTACTACTACTACTACTACTACTACTACTACTACTACTACTACTACTACTACTACTACTACTACTACTACGACTACTACTACACTACTACTACTACTACTACTACTACTGCTGCTACTACTACTACTACTACTACTGGGCGTTCGACTACTACTACTACTATTACTACTACTACTACTACCACCACTACTACTACTACTACTACCACTACTTCTACTACTACTACTACTAAAACTGATACTACTACTACTACTACTACTACTACTACTGCTACTACTACTACGACTACTACTACTACTATCACCACTACTACCACTGACTACTACTACGACTACTACGGCTACTAATACTACCACTACTACTATTACTACTACTACTACTACTACTACTACTACTGCTACTACTACTACTACTACTACTACTACTACTACTACGACTACTACAACTACTACCACTACTACTACTACGGCTGCTACTGCGACTACACCTGCTACTACGACTACTTCTTGTTCTTCTACTACTACTACTACTACTATTACTACTACTTGTTTTACTGCGGCTAGTAGTAGTAGTAGTAGTAGTAGTAGTAGTAGTAGTAGTAGTAGTAGTAGTCGTAGTCGTAGTAGTAGTAGTAGTAGTAGTAGTAGTAGTAGTAGTAGTAGTAGTAGTAGTAGTAGTAGAAGTAGAAGTAGTCGTAGTAGTAGTGGTTGTAGCAGCAGCAGTAGTAGTAGTAGTAGCAGTAGTAGTAGTAGTAGTAGTAGTAGTAGTAAATGGTAGTAGTAGTAGCAGTAGTAGTAGTAGTAGTAGTAGTAGTAGTAGTATCAGTAGTAGTAGTAGTAGCAGCAGCAGCAGTAGCAGTAGTAATAGTAGTAGTAATAATATGCTTGTTTCTTGGTTATTTCATTCCGTGCCGCTTCATCCCCTGATTCCTCGCGTTCCTTGCTGTTCCGTACTTCTTCCGTATGCCTCACCCTTCCCTCCTGACGCTTTCCCCTCGCAAGGGTCACTGGCAGCACCTCAAAGACCGACAGGTGGAAAGCGCTCTGCTTGTCCTCTCTGCAGAGGAGCGACGGGGGATTGTCGACGGGCTGGCAGCCGCGAGGACGGACGAGCAGAAATGGGAGGGGAGCAGGTTGAGTTTCAATGGGACTGATGAATGACTCCAGGATTTGTGGGCGCAGGCAAACCCTCTTGTGAATGGGGGCCCGCCGCAAATTGAGCAACGTGCTTCTTGTGAGCCCGGGCATGCCCATCATCTCGCCGCGGACATGGACGCAACGAAGTAGGCCGCGAACGCGGAGCAGGTCAGTGGGATTGCAGTGGACTTTGTGGAGAGAGGGTCGGCCTTGTCGTCTGCAAGGACGAAGCCCAGATTTGGGCAAACATGCCAAGATGAACAATTCGGGAGCTCAGCGCGCCTTGGTCTATGGGCACCAGATGCTTCGAGCTGTCCCCTCAGTGCTGCTGCGGCTCAGGAGACAAGCAAGCCGCGCCATAGCAGTGACGGGCTTCGGAAGGTTGCCTGACTCATTTGCTCGCCCTCACCCAGGGAGTTCATGACTCTGTAGTTGCGTTGCTTCGACAGCTGCTTGCGGATTCGCTGCAGTTCTGCATCTGGCATCCTGAGCATCGATGCCGAATGAAGCGAGTTTAGCACATCTTGCACAAGGAGCTGACGAAGAAGCTGTCACACAAGCGCTTGCCCCAGGTAAGACGAGCCAGTTCGGCCGTCATCTGCAGGGTGCTCTCCGCTGGCTGGGATGCCCTCTCGGCTACGACTTGGCTCTTGGACATCGAGGATACATGGCAGATGCTTGGCAGTACCAGGCGACGATGCAACTGGGGCGTCTCCAGCGACACGGAGAGCATAGTTCCTGGGTCTTACACGCGTGGGTGATGCCAGGCGCATCTTGGCCGCGAGTGGGGCAGAACGCCTCGGTTTCGACGTCTTGCTCCTTGGTCCGCGCTGAGGGCTCTCTGAGGAGACCCTGCCGCATGGGGTCTGGCAGCACTCGTGCAGCGTGGGGCGCGAAGGCCACACCGGCACCCGGGGCCTCCTCGAGAAGAAGGCGGAGGGCAATGGTGGCACTGATACTGCGGCTTAGCCTCTGGCTGCAAGGAGTGCCGCGTGACAGTTGGACGGGGCACGCGAACCCCGGGGATGTCCATGATTTCGGGTACGACGTGGGCGACTGGACCGAGGCCGTGGCAAGCGCGAAAGGCGCGGACGGCTTCCTGGACTTAGTCGGCGACGGCTCGAGCGGCGAGTTCAGGTCGGACCTGCGCTTGCGGCAATACGGATTTGGCGCGGCGGCCATGCAGGGCTCGCTGCAGGACCTTGGTGCGCTCCGCGTTGCGGCGGGCATCGTCGCCAGCCTGCCAGGCTCGCCACAGACGGTCCTGAGGGTGGAGCTCATGGCATTCCTCTTCGCCCCGCGCCACGCCAGCGGCACCCTCGGATACCATGCCGAAAACATGCCGCAAGTGGCTTTTGCGCCATCATGTCGCGCCGAGGGGAGAGAATGCAGACTTGCGGTGGGCTACCATAGTGCATTGCCGTAGCCAGGTGGCAGGTGCACTGTGTGTGTGTATGTGTGGGGGGCCTATGTGTGTGTGTGTGTGCGTGCGTGCGTGCGTGCGTGCGTGAGTGCGTGTGTTTGAATGTGTGTGTGTGTGAATGTATGTGTGTTTGCAGCAGTTTGGGCTTGTGTGTGCCAGGACGGCTGAGGGTGGGTGGGGCGGAGCGTCATCAGTCGCACACTCTTGTTGCATGTAGATGAGATTGGCCTTGCATGGGTCGTCATGTTGTGGATGGTTGCCAGCCTGGTGGCGGCGACATTGTCTTGTGAGCGTAGGCCTGCGGCAGCTAAACCAGAACAGGACGTAAGTCAGCTGGCTGGCCTCAGGTATGTGCCCGCAGTCGTCATGCGTGCCCATAGCAGTGCAGCAAACACTAGGGCGGATGGGCGAGTGCCGAACTCTTGCTGCGGCCCATGCTGCTGCCAGGCCAGATGGAAGCCTGACGCAGCTCCGATGTCCGAGCACACTGTCGTACTTCTTCCGCAGTCTCCCCAGGGCTTCCCTCCTTCATCCCCCCGGCCCCCCCACCGGCTCCTCCCCCTTCTCAGACCCCCGACGTCAGGATTTGTTCAAGACGCGACGCCCAAAGGTCCGGACCCACTCGCCGGAAAGGGCTTTTTGTCCCGAGTCGTTTTTCACGGTCCCGAGGACCGGTAAGGGCCCCCAGATGCCGAAAATACAGGGTGGGGCCCATGCCAAGAAACACCCTGCTTGCCTCCAGGGTGCCCTGGGTTTCTTGGGTTTCGATGGTTTTGCGATTGAAAGCGTGACGTTCCCTCACCAAAAAATCAGTGGGCGTCCTGGGGTCTCAGGGTTGGGTTTCTTGTGGAAGGTTTCTTGTGGACTGACCTCCGCTGGAAGGGCCCCCAGAGGCCGAGAATACCAGCGAAAGGCCTCCCGTGGCGCGGTTTCTGTCGCAACGCGAGAGGGTACGGCCTGGGCTCCTCCCCCCTCCCCTCGGCTGCCCCTCGCTAAGCTGGATGCGCGGATTGTCATCCGCTCTTTTCCTTGGCTTGTAGACCCCGTCCTCCGCCCTTTCACCCCCCCCCCTCCTCCTCTTCCTCGCAGATCAGAGCTCCACGACGAGGGCCCCGAGAAGAGAGGTTCCCAAGAGTCCCCAAGAGAGACTTCCCCCAGAGGTTCCCAAGAGTTCCCCAAGGAAGCCCCAAACAGCCACAAGCCAAGGAAAAGGGCGAATGACCATCCGCGCATCCAGCTCAGCGAGGGGCAGTCGGGGGTGGACGGGGCCCCCCACCCTGACACGTCGATGAGTGAATTGTCCGTTTTCGGTCCTCGAGAGGGCGCTGCGGCCGTCGCTTTCCAGGCCTGCGCCCGCCAGGTCTGGGCCCAAGGCCGTTTTCACGAGACCACGTTTTACTGAAGGGGGTTCTGTCCACTCCCGATCCCCACCCGTCTCCCTTCCTCCTCGCGCTCCGCCTTTCAGCAGGTCGAAAACAGCGAGAAGCCTCCCGAGAAGTGCGAGGAGGGGGGAGGGGGGAGGAGGGAGGAGGAGGAGGAGGAGGAGGAGGAGGAGGGGGGGAGGGAGAGGGAGGAGGAGGAGGGAGGAGGAGGAGGGAGGGGAGGAGGGAGGAGGGAGGAGGAGGAGGAGGGGGAGGAGGAGGAGGAGGAGGAGGAGGAGGAGGAGGAGGAGGAGGAGGAGGAGGAGGAGGAGGAGGATGTCTTTTCCACAGCGCGAGGGGGTCTGGCCTGGGCCCCTCCCCCCCCCGCCCCACCCGTGTCCCTTCGTCCTCGCGCCACGCTTCTCTTTCAGATTCCCGCCCGCCGCGGGCAACCACCGCCCGCCGGGGGGGCAGGCAGAGCGCCAACCACCGCCTGCTCCTGCTGGACGAGGTGCGCGCGCGCGCGCGCGCGCCCGCCGGGGGAGGGCGCCCGCTCGTGGCGCGCGCGGCGGGAAAGAAGATCCCCCCGTCCTGCCCACGGGTCTCGGGTCCCAGACCCCCTCGGGCCCTGAGAGAATCTCGACGGGGAGTTTCTCGGTATTCTCGGCCTCCGGGGGCCCTTGCCGGGTCTCGGGGTCGTCAACGAGCGGCGCGGGGTGAAACGCCAGTCCTGGGGAATGGTTCTGGACCTCTGGGGGTCTTGTCATGAAAGGATCATGGCGTCGGGGGTCTGGGGTATAGCGTGGAGGGGGTAGGGTCGGAACAGGCAGAGGGAGAGGAGAGGAGATGAAGCGGAGGAAGCGGGAGAGGGAGGAGGAGAGGGAGGAGGAAGAGGAGGAGCAAGACGAGATTGTGGGGAGGGATCGGAGAGTGTAATTAGAAGTGGGATCGAGATGAGAGGAGGGTCAGGATTGATGGTATGATATTGTTCGAAATGGTTCTGGGGAGTTCTGGGGACCTCCTTTTCCTTGTTAACCTCGCTAGCACCCCCCATCTGGTAGTTTCTTCCTCTTACTCGTAGTCGTCCTCCTCCCCCACACATAGACATGTTCCTCCTTTCCTTATCCCATCCCTCTTCATGTTTGTCCTTCTCTGCCATACTCTCTCCGCGAAGCTCTTCCTCCTTCTCAGGGACAGGTTTGTCTATACTGAGATGCAGAGTGAGATAATACCAACTGCAGATGTTTGTCGTTGACGGGTCAAGCTGAGGCAGTGTGAGATTCGGGCGCGCATGGCAAGAAGACCAAATCCTCCCCCCACCACACACACGAGTTGTGAACAACATGTTTTTTTACCACGTGCCAGAGCCCTACGTCGCTTCTGATCACGTAGCGACAGAGATTCACCTTCCTTGCTCATGACGAACAGGCCCTTGGCTCTCGCACCTTACGGCCATACGCGGGCAATTGCAACAATGATTTCGGCCTTAGGGCGAATGTGGATATGTCCATACTCGGCTTGGAGCAAAACGTTTACCAGGCTTGCCAAGGATAGGATGCAGAGGTGGGACCAGCACGGGTGGTCAATTCCATTCGATTCCCCGAGAATTGCGTGCCCTCAGCGGTACTTGCACGATTGGACAAGGATACTGCACATGGTTGCTGCGAGTTCCTGGTGGCCGTCCTAACGGGCCCAGGAACCCGCTGGCCAAGGCTGTTGCGACTTGCTGCTGGCCACCCACAGGCCCTCGATTTCCGCAAGCCCTGGCTGTTACGATGTCCTGGTCGCCGCCCGCATGCCAGGTTCCGCTCGCTCTGGTTGTTGCGTTCCCTTGGTCGCGCCCATCGGGTTTTTTTCTCCCGCTGGCCCTGCTTGTCGCGATGTGTTATTTTGCCGGTCGCCGCCAATGGGGTCCCGTGGAGAATGTGTGTTCGATCTGGTTGATTGTGGTGTGGGTGATCGTCGTGCAACGTTGATCGCGGGCACGAAACGGCGAGGAGGGCGCCCCATCTCCATTGCCTGGGCGAAAGGAAGGGGGCGCCGCGCGACGCACAGCGGCGCGGGGCGACGCGAGCCCAAGCGATGGGCGCGAGGCGTCGCGAAGTCCGCCTTGCTTGCATGGGCGGGCGCGCGCGAGGGGGCGCGTGCGCCGCCCAGGGTTGGGAGGGGCGCCGCTCACGCTCGGCTGGATTGGTGTCCCGCCACGTTCGGCAAGGGGCACCTCCGTTGCGGCTTGGTCTCGCCCGCCGTTGCCGCGCGTGCGGGCGTCATCGCGCGCTTGTCCATGCGACGCGCACGTGTGAGGTCTTGGATGACCAGACGAGCTGTAGATCACTGTGGTGTCCCAAGCGTGGTGTCACAAGCAGCGCGCGCTGCAGGTGCGATTTGCCCGAAGCGCGTGGCGGCGCGGCCTTGCGGTTGAGCGGCGCAGGTGGCCGCGCGTGCGAGTTCGCTGGATGAGCGGCCGCAGTTGCCACTACACTTCGACGCGGTGGCGCGCCGTCGTGGGCAGAGAGATCCAGGGCGGGAGGCCGGAACTCCGAGGTTCGTGCGGCGCGTGTGTCTTTGCGCCCGCCCAGTCTTTCGCTTGGCGTTGTAGGTGAACCGCGCGCGTCACAGACATGGGACGAGGGATTGCTGCGCGCGGCCGCGGCCGCGCTTGACGCGGCGGACTGCACAACCACGAATTCATCGACGCCCCGTCTGGTGCACGAGGCGGGGAGTTACCGCGGCGATCAAGCAGGCCAGGCGAGCGACCGCCGCTCACCCGCGGGAGCGGGAGGCAGCAGCAAGTGGGGCGGACCAGTTGCTGGAAAAGCTGCGGAAGCGAGCCGCAGAACAGCGGTATCCATTGGGTTCATTGCTTGAAAGCCCTGAGCCAAAATTGCTACGGAGCCGAACTCGTACCCGAGGAGGGAGCGGGTGGACACGAGCGAGATGAGGTCGACGACGACGAGAAGGACGACAAGGATGACGACAAGGAGGACGAGGAGGACGAGGAGGGGGAGGAGCAGGAGGAGGAGGAGGAGGAGGAGGAGGAGGAGGAGCAGGAAGAGGAGGAGGAGGAGGAGGAGGAGGAGAAGGAACAGGCGCGGGGAGGGCGAGCAGGAGGACGAGGATGACGAGCATGGGGCCTCGGAGGGCTTGGGCCTGCCCCCCCCCGAGAGCTGGCGCAGCGCGCCCCTGAAAAAAGTGCTGACGCTCTGACGCTATGGACTCTCCTGACGCTATTGACGCTCTGGCGGTCGTGACGCTCCTGACGCTCCAGTCGTCAGAGCGTCAGGAGCGTCAGGGGCGTCAGGACCGTCAGAGCGTCAAGAGCGTCAGGGGCGTCAATGCTGTCAGGGGCGTCAGGAACGTCTGGAGCGTCAGAGCGTCAGGAGCGTCAGGGGAGTCAGGAGCGTCAGGAGCGTCAAGAGCGTCAGGAGCGTCAAGAGCGTCACGAGGGTCAGGAGCGTCAGGGAGCGTCAGGAGCGTCAGGGGCGTCCACAACTCCGGCGCCGCCGCTTGAGACATCCTCATAGCTCCAGCGCCGCCGTTTGAGACATCCTCACAACTCCGGTGCCGCCGCTCGAGCGTCAGGAGCGTCAAGGACGTCAGGAGCGTCAGGCGCGTCAGGACCGTCAGGGTCGTCAGAGCGTCAGGAGTGTCAGGAGAGCCAAGGGCGTCATGGGCGTC